ATCAGTCATTTCAGAATGTAATTGAAGCACTTGAAAACTCTTTAAGTTCTGATTAGCATTCTTGTAATTAAGTATTATTGTAGAAAAAAAATATAGACCTCCACAAAGAAGAAATGCTGGGATGGTAAAAGAAAGATATCTTGCATATGCTCCATGGTCAGAACCTTCTTGTAGTCCTATTGCACCTGACCAGTCCTCTTTGAGAATTGGGATGGTGGTAATAAGCTGTATTCTTCCCTATCCCCATTAAAGGGTTCTTGATATTCCTCCCAAGTGTGGAGAAAGAATATTTTTTTTGGCAGGTGGGAATGGGATAATGATCTACAAATGAGAATTTTTTAATGGATATTCTATAAATTCCTAACAATACTTTTTTTCTCAGTGGAAATGGTCTTCCTGTCCTCCCAATCCAGTGGCTCACCTCCACATTACAACTACCTGCATGCACACTTGTAGTGCTCAAAAGTGGTGTGTCTGCCTGGGTCTGTTAGTGTATGGTGTGTACTGGGCCATGCAATCATGTTTACACACCCTGCGAACTGTTCTAATTGGAACGTAGGGGTAAGACTGTAAGAATAAAGATTGTTATTAGAGTACTTTCAGCCTCATAATACATATAAACCCTAACACACAGTCTCCTAAAATTATAAATGTTAATAATGGAATGTGCTAAAAACTCCCCTAATTTCTTCAGAGTGGGAAATTAAGAGTGCAGCAGATTTGTCCATTATAAAGAAAACCAAAATCACCAAGTTGATATATACCCTCTCCATTAATGCAAGACCTTAATAATAATAATATATTTCTAAATGAAAATGATTTACTTCCCCATACCTCAGACAGATATTGGCAGGCATGTTTCTTCACAAATGGTGGAGCTGTTCCAAGCTTTGAAATATTTAAACCAGGGTACTTAGAACTAGTCAGTCTATTACCATTGAACACTTAACCCAAGACCATTTGGTAGCCATTTTACATACACTAAGAAGTACATAGGAGGGATGAGATCCTACACACTTATCTTAATGCTAGCATCTCTGCTAGGGATAGACTTATTCAACTGCTGAATATTCCACAGAATCTATTACACACCGCTGACCTTTGCACAAGAAAGACAACCTCAACTGTCCTAAATGTCAAAAGCAGACCAGTGACCTTCTCCATATGCTTTCGGGTTGTGAAAAAGTTTGTCTCTTTTGGTCCCTAGTCACTTAATTTATTGCTGTGCATTTTGAGATACCCAATGTGCAACCGAAGTGGTGTGTGCTATCGGTATTGGAATTTGGACCTGGGTACACATCAAAAACTATTTTTGAGATTCTTATTGTTCTGTGCCAGAAAACTGTTGTACTACAGTGGATATATACAAAGGTTATTCACATTAATTTATGGAAAAACTTGATCAATCTTTTGCGCTTTTAAAAATGAATGTATGAAGCCAGGGGATGTCTCCACAAGTTTGATAAAATCTGGGGTCCATAGACTGCACTTTTCAATACGTGTGAGTTACGAGATCCTAATGTATTACTAACCTATTAGGATATATGGCACACCATATTTATTAACTATTTGTTTGATGTTTTTTTGGTACACAGAGGCATATGCTTTCTAGTCCAGACTTATTTTACCTGCCCCTTCTTGGAGACAGGTTTCAGAGATTATTGGATCAGTTAGCAAATACTGGTTGTTTTGTTTAGTTTTATGTTTCTCTTATGTTTTAAACCTGTACTGCAACATACTATGCTATTATTGATGATGTGACAGTGTTTGAGTCTCCATTTCTTTGTACAAGGGGCGTTCAAGTCAAACTGGGACTTTTAATTTTACAAGTATAAAAAAGGATGCTAGTATGGCGGTACTACGCGCAGTAGTAAGTGGTGCTAGTGTGTCCTATTACTGATAAGTGGTGCACATGTCGCGAGCCAGTCCAGAAATTGTTAATCAAGATAGCAGACAACAGTGTTAGTGTGTGCATGGAACCGCATGTGGTAATGAAATTTATTGTGAATGAAGGTGTAAAACCTGCAGATATCTACAGAAGACTTCAAGCTCAGTACAGTGATGAGACGCTCAGCCACACTAAACGTTTCAAAGATGGCCATACGTCCGTCAGGGACGATCCTGGCCGCGATGGTTCCCAGCCCACAGTAGTCATTCCTGTGTACATTCAGGGCATGGAATGTCTGATCCTGGATAATCGATGCATAACCTGTCATGAAACTGCAAAAGAGACACATTTTTTTGTGGGAACAGTGAACACAATCATTCACAAATGTTCTAGGATGGTTCAGGTGTACTGACAAATCTTTATATGACGACGCTTTCCAGGCATTAGTTAAATTCTGAGATAAGTGTATAAATGTAGCAGGAGAGTTTGTTGAAAAATAAATTGCAGGTTGCACTCCTTGAAATTTGTACTTGTATTATATAAACTCAAAAGTCCTGGTTTGACATGAACGCCCCTTGTATATCTTACCTCCACGACCGTGGAGGATTGTCTATTTGATGACTGTCTGCAGTGATATTCTGTTTTGATATTGCATTGTATGTGATGCATTTACTCTTTTGTCAAAACTGTTTAATAAAATACAGTATTAAAAAAAAAAATGAGAAGTACATAGGACTGCACAAGGTCCTTGGTCCCCCTACCTAATCAGAAGACCCAAAACCTTGATCCCAGTTAAGAAGAAAGACTTATTGGATACGACTATATTAAGGACGTGGAGGAAATACTTTTATTGCCAGTTCAAAAAGAAAAAAAAAAAGAATCAATCCAGGCAGAATGGTTGGATTACAAACCTAGTACTGAATGCGAGGATGTTTTGGGGTGAACAATTCCTGGTAATATACAGTACTTCAGTATATAGCAGCACACCCAGCAACGAAATCGTTCTGTAATGAAAACAGTTCATATGGTCCAGCTTGGCCCAATAAACTATTTAAAGTGATATAAAACATGGTTTCTAAACGGCTTGAGGCAGATGTATGGGTTGGACTTCTGCAGAGAGACAACTGATTTCACAAAGAGAGTAAGGGTCCTTCTCTTCAGCTGCTGGAAGTGAAGAGGCATTTCCACTTGGGCTGTGGCTACTTTCTAAAGAAGACTTTGAACACCTATTGTTTTTATACACCTGGGATGTAATTAGCTAATTTAAGGTAAAATTTCAGTTGGGCTTTAATGGCAATGATTTAATTTTAGCAAATATTACTAACCTTTTGAAGCATAATTGGTACACAACGGGAAACATGTTTTTATGTACTCTGCCATTTTAAAAGAATTATTGTAAAACTAGAACGTTATGCTTTATTTTACATATTCCATCCTTGTGAACTTGTACTTTAATATCTACAGACCACAAATATCTATACCAAAAATATCTTTAACAGGGAGTGCAATATCTAGAATATCTGTGACAAGCTTCCAGTCTCCTAGACAACATCAGACTTGTTCAGCGCACACAGAAGTGTCAAAGGATGTCACGACATACTGTACAAAATTCACATACTAAGTATTACTGTTTCAGTGACAATATATTCACAGCATTTCAGCATCTTGCCTAGCCTATGTCAAATTTAGATTCATATACTTGTCGTCTGTTGATGGTACAGGTTTAAAAAATGTTTTCTGGCTGACTGAAAAAGTAGTAAATATTAGCCAAGGTGTTCTGGAGGTAAACCACATTTGTTTTATATTTTATTTGTTTGATTCATGAAATCGATGTTGGAAAGTACTTAATGCAGTAGAATTAGACTAATGCGAATTATAAGAATGAAATTCTCAAGGGTTTATAGACCTATATTTATTTAATCTGCAAGATATAATATACAAGATGTAATATACAGTACTTAACTTTGGAATTTAGTTCTAGTCACAAATTGATATGCATAACTTTATATTTTACTGACGCCAGAAACCTAATTGCTAGCATCTGTCATATAACTGTCCTAAGGTCACAGTGCTTGTGATTGTCATGAGGGGCCTGATAATAATGCCAGCAAATCTGATCACTGGAAGAAAACAAAGTAAGAATGTGGGTATACTTTTACATCTGAATGTGTTTAAAATGTAGTTCTCTCAAATGATATCATATTTTTTAAATTGTGTTATGCAAGATAATACAGAACATTTCAATGGCCTAAAACAATAATGTTGAAATGACCACCATCGGCATGGTCATGGGATAAGGGCTGTAACCAATTCTATGCAGTAACGTGAACGGGGGTGCACTTACCCTTGCACCAGGAACCACTGGGCTAAAAACATACATTTTTTTCAACTCAAAATTGCAAAAATAGTGCCATATAATATACTATAAATGCGCCAAATTGAGTGAGAAACTGTATACCCCAGGACACAGCTGGAGGTGTCACACCTTTGTCCTCCAGCTGTTGAAGTACTACAAGTCCCATCATGCCTCTGCCTCTGGGAGTCTTGCTTGTGGCTGTCAGAGTTTTGCAAGGCCTCATGGGACTTGCAGTTCCTCAACACCTGGAGGGCCATAGTTTGGAGATCCCTGCTCTAAGGCAATGCAGACACTAACAACTTTCCCTCCTGAGGATTGACCCCCCCTTCCTGACCAGGCCATTTTTTGTGTTACGGCACTGTGTTACTTTAACTGACAATTGTGCGGTCATGCAACGCTGCATCCAACTGAAAGTTATGTCCTTTTTTTCCCACGAATTGAGCTTTCTTTTGGTGGTATTTGATCGCCTGTGTGTTTTTTATTTTTTGCGCTATAAAAAAAAAAGACCGAAAATTTTGAGAAATAAACAATATTTTTTACTTTTTGCTTTAAACATGTCCAGTAAAAAATTAAAAAAATAAAATTTCATCATAAATTTAGGCCAAAATGTATTCTGCTACATATTTTTGCTAAAAAAAAATCCCAATATGTGTAAATTAATTGGTTTACATGAAAGTTATAGTGTTTACAAATGGCGGAATATATACTGGGATTTTTTTTTTTTAATTTTTACTACTAATGGATGCGATCAGCGAATTATAGTGGGACTGCAGCGGGCATTCTGACATTGGGGGAAACTGACTTGGTGTTACTGACATCCCCAGTGACACCAATACAGTGATCAGTGCTAAAAAAAAAGCACTGACACTGTACTAATGGCACTGCGCAGGAAGGGGTTAACATGAGGGGTGATCAAAGGGTTAATTGTGTGCTCTGTGCTGTGTCTGTGTGCTTCACTGTAAGCACACTGCTTTGGATGACTGTGCACAGTCATCCAAAGCAGTGTGCACGAGCTGACAGGCAGGAAACTGTATTGTTTACATACAGTTCTCCCCATCGGAGATGCTCATGAATCACCGGGAGCCGGTGATTGACAGCCGTGGCCGCAAATGGCGGTGCAGGTAGGGTGCACACATGCATGCCCCCTGCCCGGAAATGCAAAATCACGTATATATCTGCAGTATATCTGCTATAGGGCGGTCGGGAAGTGGCTAAGAGGCAAAAAACAGTTACAAAATGTGCATTTATTATTTTTGTCTACAGGAGCCTGGAAAGCATTGCACCAATGATCAGTAGATCGCTGATGCCATACAGGTCTCCTGCAGACCTGTCAGAATATCTGCTTGCCATATGGGATGTACAGTCAAGCAGATATTCTTACAGGAAGCTTCAATGAACTACCACGGCCCTCCACAGCGCCGTGGTAGTTCATTGAAAACTACAAGCCGACAGCCACTAAGGCTGTTGGGACTTGCAGTTAATTCAGTCATGGAAGTCTGTGAATGAATGATACGGCCATGTGGGCAGAGCCCTGCACAGCTACGTTGTTTTCAAATTTGACAGATAGTGAAGGGAGACTTTTCCCTGTATTATCTATCAGAGGGAGGGGGGGGGGCGGCAGGCGGTGGCTGTGGCTATGAGAACATGTTAAATGTACTTCCTAAAAATGGGTGGAACATGTAACATGTTCCCAAAGGTGAACTTATCCTTTAACCTAGCTGCCTGAAGCCCAGCTTACCAACAATGCCAGCATCTGCCCATTCATGTACTAATTGCTTACTTTATGTAGACCAGATTCAAAGCCAACTTACCTTGACAAACAATATCTCACTCAAATAACCATGTGTAAAAAAGTGAAAACTTATCAAAAAGTTAAGTGGTTTAAAGTACCCACACCCAACATGTTTCACTCTAAAAAGAGCTTCATCAGAGGTGCAGTGCGCAATAAAAGTATGGAAAATATTTGTGCCACCACAAGGCAGAAAACATTGGCCTTTGTTGTTTTGCCATGTGGTGACGCACATATTGGTTATGGGTACTGAAAGGGACAGGTTTGTCCTTTATTTTCCACAATCATACTATTCCTTTGGATGTGGACACTATAAGACCAGTTATATGAGCCAAAGGTGTAAAACCTCCAGTTGTGTCCTTCGGTTAAACAGTTTCTCACTCAATTTGGCATTTATAGTATACTATATTTCACTATTTTTGCAATTTTCATTTGGGTTGAATAAAATTGATGTTTTTAGCCAATTGGTTTCTGGTGCGCATTTAGGTGCATAGTTAATGCCACTGTTGTGTATAATTTGACATAGGACCATATAGTTTTTGTTCTGAAACCAATCCTACCAAAGTCCAAGAAATGGTGGTATAGCAGACAGAGAGCAAATTCTCTGCAGAGTTCATTGCAGATCTATATTTGGAAATGTTTTCTGCATATCTCCTCCTAATATGTCACTAACGGCAATGATTGCAGCCTCTTTGTACTTTACCCCATTTCCATGATTCCTTTGTAGATACATAAACTCCAAGCGAAATCTTCAGGAACCAATTGTTCTATTTTTGTATAACAACATTAAAATGATGTTATTTGGCCCTCCCAAATCCATCCTAGAGGAACTTCAAAACATCTACTGATAAGATAACAGCAATGATCCTAGGATTTTCTAAAACAATGTAATATGAGGAAATACCTGAATTATCCAATCAATCTGTATCCATTCAGACAGGCCTTGCACTACATAGTTGTTAGTAGATCTAAAAGAGGATTGTACAGGCAAATGAACTTTAGGTCCTCATTTAGATGTGCTTTGAAATTTAAATGTCCAATAATGCACCTATTGTGTTAAGATGCGTTTACGCTGCATTTTTAACTCATGTGCATCACATTAAATAACACTTTCCAGATGCCTCCTCTGTGTTGGTTTTCTATTGTATGTATTCTTGTACTATTATCTTGGCTAGTAACACTTCTTAAACACATCTCAAAGGCGCTGTAAACACCATAGGGGCATTTGTGATGAGTTTGCAGTGCATTTACATTTACATCAATGGAAGAGTTTGGGGAACAGTAAAGTCAGCCAAATGATGCATGTTGGATCAATTTTGGCGCAATGCAAAGCAAAGTGATGTAAACGTGACCATTTGAACAATACTGGCCACTGCAATGCACATAAATTTGACAGGTGTTTTTGCTGACAGGTGACCTGCTTTTGACTGGACTGGACTTTTGACTTAACCTAACAGTGATCTATTATGGTGACACTGTTGTGTAAGGGCTCATTCACACGTGTGTCGATTATGAAGAATGAAACAATACTTATTAATGCACGTTTTTACACATTTTCGACACATTGAAAAAGCATCATGAAAGCTTGTCAAATTCCCATAAAAGTTTGGTTTTTCCAGGGTGAAGTGCTTAAAAGGGAAATGTTGTAGGGGAAATTAACTGTTCCGAGGCTGTGCTGTGATAGCAGGCATTTTTGTAATTTCTTTGCATGATGAATTCATATACTTTGATCTCTTTGACAGTTGGCTTGGTCCAGCTGAAGATGATCATGGAAACATTGTTACTTGCTGGCACAAAAACTTGCTGAAATGGTCACTTGCTTGCACGACACTTGTTGGCAAGGTTTCTTGCTGGCACTGACACCATGCTGACACAAAAAACTTTGCCCTTGGCAGTACTGCTTAATGGTTCTGATCCAGCTTGCCACATATACATCAGCACCAAACCGACAATATCAATTCCAAATCTTTATGTCCATCTTAATACCTTTGCCTTCATCTCAGATCTTATGGTCAACTATCCAAAGTCTAAAGCTCTCGAGATTTCACTCTCAATGGAACTTAGGTGACAACTTACAAAACCACATAACTTTTAGTGGGAGAAGTCTTTCATATTTAAGTATTTGCAGGGCTGCTGTTAGATATCATGGGGCCCAGTACAGCCTACCTAACGGTGCCCCCTTTGACCTCACCCTCAACCAAACCCCTCACCCCACCTCAAAACAAAATGCAACTTTGTCTGCAAGTGATATATAATAGAATAAGCATATACATTTCAAGTTCCCCAAATATTAAAAATATTTCAGACCGGAAGAGATACAATATATATACATGAAAGCCCTGCATTGGGACAAACACGTATGAATCAAAAATCCATAGAACCAAAATCAACAAAGTAGGTATATCAGATATTATATTAATATTTCATACTTTGTTGATTTTGGTTCTATGGATTTTTTTATTCATACTCGTTGGTCCCAATACAGGGCTTTCACGTATGTTGAATCTCTTCACATTAATTTTTCGGGCTGTAATATTTTTCACATTTTGGAGAACTTGATATTTATATGTTTATCCTATACAATGTATTAGAATAGCACTACAGTTCTTTTTTGTACAAGTGTAAACAGGGCAGGTGCCAGCATAAGGCAGCTGCCTTAGGGCGCCGTGCTGGGGATTTGAATTTCTGTAATAATACCAGTCTTCTGTTTCTCCCAGCAGGCAAACTAAAACCTCCATGCTGCTCTCAGTAGGAGAGAGGGCCCAGAATGGAAGTTTTAGTTGGCCTGCACAAGGCTGCTGCCAGAATGAGGTCAGAACAGTAGGCAGAAAGGGTGGCTTGCATGCCCCACTGTCAGAGCAGATCTGTCAGAATGCAAAGGAGGATGGAGTGGTGGGCAGATCCCATGTGAGTGCAGGGATTGGTCAGGGCCCGCTGTCAGGAATGGTGGTTTGCGCCCAGCTGTGCGGGGTGGGTGAGGCCAGGGGGTTCTAGTGGAGGACCCCATGGAGGAGAAGGAAGAAGAGAACGAGTTCAGGGTGGAGAAGCCTTCCCCCTGCTCTTTGCTGTAGCTCTAGCTGGGAAACAGCTACCCTCCTGGCACCAGATTCTCTACACTGACACCATCTGGAGAAGCTGCTGCAGGATAGGTGAGATCTGGGAGTATTGGTCATCCCATAGCTGTGTGTTTGATCAAAATGACACTACCCCCCTCCTGTCCTGCTGTACTGCTGCCTGTAACACTGCAGTGGGACAAGGGGCAAATGGGACAGGAGAGGGGGGCAGTATGATTGATGGGGGAGTCAGTGGGTTAGGAGGGGGGCAGGTTGACAGACGGGGGGCAGTGGGACAAGACGGGGGCAGTGGGACAGGTGGGAGGCAGTAGGACAGGAGGGGACAATGGGACAGGAGGGGGGCAGTGTGACTGATGTGGGGGCAGTGTGACAGGAGGGGGGCAGTGTGACAGATGGGAGGCAGCGGGACAGGTGGAGGGGCAGTGTGACAGGTGGGTATCAGCAGCACAGGAGGGAGGCAGCAGATTCCCCTCTCTTGTCACATTGGCAGGTGTGGCAGGAGTATGGTGTGGGTAGGTGGGGGGTTGTGTGTGTGTGGGGGGGGGGGGCAAAATGCACCCTCGCCTGTGAAGGCAAATATGCTTGCACCGGCTCTTAATGTAAAGTAGCATGATTACGTGATTAACATCAGATTATCAGCAGGAGCTCTATCATGGCTCTGTCACAGTGTCACACGGCTATGCTGACTTTATGGCTGTACTATAATGATGAGAACACACAGGGTACAGGATTCTATCCAGATATGACTGTCACTCACTGTGTGCAGCCACACTGAGAACCCCCCTCCAGGAGTACTGTGTCACTCCTCCTGTAGTCCTCCTACCTGAGCTTGCCACAGTTCTGCTGTTCCATTGATTCCCTCTGCTGGAGCCCACCCTCTTCTCAGCTGGCAATGAAGAAGATATCACTCCGCCAGCAGCAGAGACTGTGAGCTGGCTTTTAGCCAGGATACGCAGCACTGGCTATTGCGTGAATCTGCCTGTGCCAAAAAAAAAAAAGTCCCTCTATCTTACAGTGTCCAGGGCCCCTCTGGATGAACTGATGCCCCCTCAGCCTAGGGAATTTAATTTGGGAGCCACAAGGGAACGTTAGGGATTCACATTATTTTGAAGGTGCTGCTGGCTGTGCCCCCCTTTTAAAGTGACAGGGCCAGGCCCCCTACAGGAAGCCCAGTGGTACCCCCTTATCAGCGGCCCAGAGTATTTGTGTTATTAAATCCCCAACACTCTGTGGGGTTTATTTACTACAGGAAAATAGGTTGTTCATTTTGCAAAGGAATTTTCATTTAGCTTATTGTAAGAG